TAGTAACAATTTGCAATCAGACACTTTATGAATAATACTCAGGCCACCTATCTACTTGTTGATTGATTCAGCCATAAGACTTATTTGCTAAACACCATATAAGTTTAATTTGAATTATCAAAGTCATGCCACGCTACCATGTGAATAAGTTAAACAGAACTGTTCATACATTACTGTTATCATGATAACTGATCAGCTTATGATATTGTGTGATATTACAAGAAGCTAAATAAGGCTTATGCATCCGCTTATAATATCTTAACTTGATCAATAGCCTGCCACCAGACAGATAATCCTGAATTTCTCTTCACTGACCTTAATGTGCCGACTAACTTTGATCATGCGAAACTGTTCTCCTTCTGACTTCTGAATAACTTTCTTTCCCAGCATGGATATTTACGTAAGTAGGTGTGTTGTTGTGTTGCTGTTTCACAGTTCTATTCTCGTGGGCTTTGTATATACATATATAATAGATTGGTTAAGAATTTCTCACACATCATACAAAGCACTACACATGCATAATTATTAAATGATTGATTCTCACTAAACATGAATTATTTCAGTAGTCAAATAGGGTCAGGTACTTTCTAGACACTTTTTGTTGTACCATATATGTATTTATATATGTATGTATATATATCTGGGTCATTTGTCTGAATTCTATGAAGTCAGTCAAACCAAAGGCGTGGGTGAATTCTCACTCATCAAATATGCATTTGTTATCAGTAACAGACGTTTAGAGTGAAAATGAAAATCTAACTACCCCCTGTTGTGGTGTATGACACTGGGTTTTTGGTGAATTGCATCTGTTGAGTTGATCCGGTTGCACAGGAATCCATTCTGCTGTAGTTCTTTATAAAGGTGGATAATAATATATCGCCAATGATTTTCCTGATTCCAGTAGACTGGATAATGCGACAAACAGCAGGCAATGAGGAAACAGGCATAAAATGGACTCACACAAAATGCTTGGAGAATCTGGACTTCGCCGATGATATTTGTCTGATTTCTCACAAACTGGAAGATATGCAAGCAAAAAGCAACAAGTTGGCAGAAGAAGCATCAAAGATAGGAAATCACTTCAGGTGGACATAGATAAAACAGAGGTGATGAGGATTCCTGGACAAGAACAACGACAACAGACAATGATCAGCATAAATGGAAGGAACCTGAAAGAAACAACCTCCTTTACCTACCCTGCCTGGGAAGCATCGTTTCAACTACAGATGGACGAAACTGATGAGGATATCAAAGCGAGGTTGGGAAAAGCAAGACAAGCTTTCACTACTCTCAAATCTGTGTGGAGGTCAACAACAATCAGCATCAAAAATAAGATCCGGATTTTCAACTCCAATGTGAATTCAGTGCTACTATACAGATCAGAGACTTGGCCAGCGCGTCATAAAGAGCATCTCAAACAAACTACAGACCTTCATTAACAGTTGTCTTCGCTCAATACTCAAGATCAGATGGCCGGCCAGAAAAGATCAGCAGCAGAGATCTCTGGCAATGAGCGAACCAACCAGGAACCGATTGTGAAACAAATAGTCAGGAAGAAATGGAGGTGGATTGGCCATACTCTGAGGAAACCATCAAGTGACATCACTAGACAAGTCATTGCTCGAGTGGAAGCCGAAAGGGAAGCGGCGAGTTGGTCTTCAGTGCAAGGGTGACTTGGAGGAGGTCATGTGAAGAGGAGATGAAAACAAGTGGGCAGACTTGGAGCCAGGTGAAGACTCTAGCAGAGAACCGAACGCAATGGAGACGCACGGCTGAAGCCCTATGTTCGTCTAGGAATTAATGGAAACAATAATAATTATTATGGACAGTATTTATAAATTGTACAGAATTTTCAGAGGATTTTATTGCATGATATCCCCCCCTAACTCGTACAATATCTTCAAGTAAAGCATTAACTGACAGTAGATCCTGTGACATAATGGTCTCTGAGCTGAAGCACAAACCGTTTCATTATGACATATCTGCTTTGTCTCCTTCCTTCAAAAAATCCACGATATCTAGCTGTGAATGCCAATTGTAAGATGTTCAGAAGTACACTTTGAGACCCAAGAACATAACTGAAGAACAATTTTCTCATGTGCCTGGACACGTTGCCACCCACAATCGGGCATTTCTTCAAGTTTAGTAGGAATCTGAGAATCATATAAGCTTGTTAACATTTTAAATATACACAAGAGTAGATAAAACCATTAAAGGTCATATCTGAATCTACTAAAACAAACCGAACGAAAGGAAATATATGCAATAGAGAAATGGAAGTTTTTGGTAGCTCAAGTTTTAAACAGGCCGCCAGTGTGCATTTAGTCATTATGGTAGTTTCTTTTCCCATTGTTCACCATCTAACAGACTAATTGGATAACATTTAACAACTGAAGTTCATCGACAACCACGGAAAATGTAGTGTGGGAAAGATGAACTGCAGCAAAGTGATGAAAACGTCAATCTTCCTATAGTTTGTCTTGTTTATTTTCTCATTCAGACATCTATAAAACACAAAATAATTGAGCAAAGAATATCCTTTTCGATAATTTCCTCTTCTGGCTCCACAACTATATATATGCATGCTTACATACATAGAATATTCTAGAATAGTAATCAATAACAATATTAGTGTTTTCTTAAATAATATCCATTGGCTACCATTCTAGAATACTCTATGTATATAAGCATATATATAATTGTAGAGCCAGAAGAGGAAATTTCCGAAAAGGATATTTTTTGCTCACTTATTTTGTTGTTTAATTACATCAAATGAACAGCCACTTAAGGCAATCATATATCGACACCACCTCAAGTTGCCTTCAACCGCATCTACCAGTTCACGTGTACATGTCAAAGTATATATACTAAAAGAACATAAAGAAGGGATTTATTTCTCAATCCATACCCAAGAACCTGAAAATGAAGGGCTTACAAGCGTTAAAATATTAAATTCTCCTTCATCTTTCATACGACCTGATGGCACTCAAAATAATCAACAGACAAAATAAATCTAACCTATTACGTTTTGTTGAAACAATCGACATCAGACATTTAAAAGTAAATCTACGTAGATAGAAAAAGGCGGTAATGAAACCTGGACTAGCTTGTTGATTAAACTGACAAAACAGTTATACAATATCGGATTCATTCCTGTTGTGAATGCACTGTATACATTCCATCTGGGAGGTCCAGATCTTTGCAGACGGTTAATGTTTAATGTCGTACAAACTAGGAGATCTACAAGCGAAAACTCATAAGTTGACAGAAAATGCAGTGAAAACAGGATTTTTTCCAATTCAGCATGAAGAAGATAGAGCTGATGAAGATACCTAACCAACATCAACAAGTACTAATCTCCATGAACGGGGGAAATCTGAAGGAAATCGTCTCTTTCACTTACTTCAGCATAGCGCCACTGGCTCAACCACACGCAGAAAAGATTATTATTGTATTGTTATTGTTCCCTTGTTTTCCTAGTGGAACATAGGGATTCAACTGCACGTCTCCACTTGCTTCTGTCTTCTGCTGTACTTTTCACCTGCGTCCATGTTAATCCATACTTTTTCAATTCCTCTTCACACGATCTCCATGTCACTCTTGCACGTCCCACTCGCCGCTTCCCTTTCGGGTTCCACTCGAGCACTGGCCTGACGCGCGATGTCACTCAACGGCCTCCTCAGCGAGTGTCCAATCCATCTCCACTTCCTCCTGCATATTTGTTGGGCGATTGGTTCCTGTTTCGTTTATTCCCATAGCTTCTTGTTTGTGATTCTTTCTGGCCATCTAATCTTCAGTATGGAGCGAAGACAGCTGTTGATAAAGGTCTGCAACCTGTTGAAAATATTCTTGGTGACTCGCCAAGTTTCTGATCCGTAAAGCAAAATTGACTTGACGTTTGTATTGAAAATCCAAATTTTGTTGTTGATGGTGAGTGACGAAGATTTCCAGATTGGTTTCAGGTTGATGAATGTGTTTCTCGCCTTCCCGATTCTCGATTTGACATCCTCGTCCGTTCCTCCTGTAGTTGAGACAATGCTCCCCAGATAAGTGAAAGAAGTAACCTCTTTCAAATCCCTCCCGTTGATGGTGACTGGCACTGGATGTTGCTGTTGTTGGTTGGTTATTTTCATGACCTCCGTGACATCAGACATAAGTCACCCGCGAAATCCAGGTCTTCAAGATTCTTCACGTCGGTCCAGGATATCCCTGTCTTCTCGTTTCCCACTGTCTGACGCAGAAAAGATGGGGATGTCAAAACCAGACAGCATCTGGAAAGCAGGACAGACGTTCATTATTCATAATTCAGTGTGGATTTCCTAAAGGAATCGGTACAAAGGAAAATATTTGAATTTCGGCCGCCAATGTCAAGCCATTGCTTCTATAAGTTTCAAAGTCATGGTGGGCAAGTCACCAAAGGAATCTCCTACATCCTTCTCCTGTTACCTCCATTTCGCAATAAACTTTTGATGACCGGTCAGAAAATATACGCAACCAGCAGGCAACAACCTAGTTCCCAAAAAATATGCGGAAGAAAATGAAAATGGAATGGGCATGCATTGTGAAGACCACTGAATGACATCACATGGTAGGCAGGTCCCCTACGGGAACCTGATTAAAAAACAGACAAGTTGAATGCGGGTCAGAGTATGACTCTGGATGAGATCGTGTGAGGGGGAAATGAAAGTTTTGTGGGGAACCATGAAGCCAGCTTATTAAGACTGCAGAGGACAGATTGTATGTTCCACTAGTAACAGAAAGGAATAATAATAAATAATCTACGCATGACCTATGGGATCGCATAATTCTACTAGTGGACTCGGAGAAGCTATTCGCCCCTCAGCACCTTAAGTAAACTAAACCATATCATCAAATCTTGTTCAATTCAAACAAATCAATTTTTCTATGTTTTAGATTCGTGTATTCATTCATTTTATTCCTCAAAGATCAAAACAGTCAAGCTATTTAACCCCATTTTTCTCTCTCTCTCACATTTCAAGGCATACAAACGTCCTGATCAAGATTCTGGTATGGGGAGAACAACTGATGAAAGTGCACGTACAGAAGAAAGTTCAGAACAGGTTTGTCTATAAAAAAAATTACGCCATAATTTACTCTTCTTTACCATGACTTTACAAAAATTTTATCAAATCAGAATCATGCTGAAAATTCTAGCCATTATATATTTCTGTTCATGGAATGTCAATACTGCCTGTAGATACACTGCCTCAGGAAGATGACTTATCATCTAATGCACTAGTGTTCTATAATAATCTTTAAAGCTGGTTGAATGGCTTAATGCCTTCCTGCAGTTTGAACAAAAGGTGAAGATATCTACTACTGACTTACTGATATAAGTAGGTGGGTACCGCTCAAATCAACTAGTAGTGCTTCCTGGCCAGCCATAACACTGGAGAACCGTTCCACTCATTCATGGCCAAGGAAATCAGCAGAGTTTCTGCCTTTGAATCAGCTCATAGAACGAAATCAGTTCAAACCCCCAACTAGCTACATGGGTGAACTGGTAATGCGTCAAATCAAACTCACGAGAATTGCAAATGTATTCGCGACTCGCAATTTACACAATTCGACTTGAAATTTCATCTCAGTTTCCTTTGGAAACCGAAATGATTTAGATCACATCATGCTATCTGCCTCTCAAATGTTTAGGTCGCTTCGGGAGAACTGACCAGAAAGCACTACTGGTTAATGTGAGTGGTGTTCAACTCCTTTCACCATTTAATCAGTAGTATGCAGTGTCATGCTTTCATGCTTGCTTTCTTGATACCTATATTTATGAGGACAGGAGTAAGACAAGACTGCCTACTATCGCCAATGCCTTTCCTGATTGCAGTAGACTGGATAATGCGACAGACGGTTAGCAGGCAATGAGGAGACAGATGGGCATAGAACGGATCCACACAAAAAACTTGGAGAATCTGGACTTCGCCCATGATATATGTCTGATTTCCCACAAACTGGAAGATATGCAAGCGAAAAGCAACAAGTTGGCAGAAGAAGCATCAAAGATAGGAAATCACTTCAGGTGAACATAGAGAAAACAGAGGTGATGAAGATTCCTGGACAACACCAACAACAGCAACAACAACAACGACAGACAACAATCAGCATAAATGGAAGGAACCTGAAAGAAACAACCTCCTTTACCTACCTACATCCTGTGAAGCATCGTTTCAACTACAGGCGGAACTGACGAGGATATCAAAGCAAGGATTGGGAAAGCAAGACAAGCTTTCATTACTCTATAGTCTGTGTGGAGGCTAACAGCACTCAGAATGACGAATAAGATTCGGATTTTCAACTCCAATGTGAAGTCAGTGCTACTCACTACACGGATTAGAGACTTGCACTGCGCGTCAGAAAGAGCATCTCAAACAAACTACAGAACTTCATTAACAGTTATCTTCGCTCAATACTCAAGATCAGATGACCGGTCAGAAAAGATCAGCAAGAGAGATCTCTGGCAATGAGCGAAGCAACCAGGAACCCATTATGCAACAAATATTCAGGTAGAAATGGAGATGGATTGGCTATACTCTGAGAAAACTAACCATCATCAAGTGACGTCACACACCAGGCCATCGCTCGAGTGGAACCCGAATGGGAAGCGGTGAGTTGGTACTCAGTGCGAGAATGACACGGAGGAGGCCATATGAAGAGGAGATGAAAGCATGTGGGTAGACGTGAAGCCAGGCGATGAAAACGTTGGCAGAGAACCAAACGCAGTGGAGGCGTGCGGCTGAAGCCGTGTGTTCCTCTAGGAACTAAAGGAAGCAATAGTAATAATAATAATAGAAAACCAATTTTTTTCTCTTTTATAATGTCGACGATCCCAACCAAGAGACTTTTAGTATCTAACACTGAACAATAGCAGACTGTAATGTGACGTAACTTCATTAGAGTACATTTCGCGTGTATATATATAAGACATTGTATCGATATTTGTTAAACTTTAACCAAGTTTACTGTTTTGTAATTATCCTTCACATTGGCTAGAAGGCAGAATAAACCGATCTCACAGAATATTAATTATTATCATCATTATTATTTAATAGTAATGTTGTCTTTGTACAACTGCACGACAAATAATCATTAAAGGATAGCTTATATATCATGACATTTTGAAAGTATTTCAAAACAACGCATGAGATAGCAGTGTTGACTTTCCCATGATATGATAAAATGACGTCTTAAAATGAAGACAAAAGTGAAAAGTTTTCGCATGTCTGATTTTTTTCTTTAACTTTGTTTTCCTATTTATACGTACAGAATTTAGGTTAGTAGAATGTTTTTCTCCCCAATATTTCCTATTTGTTAAAAAAAATATGCGTGTAACTGGATACATCAAGTCAATTTATCCTCTGATGCTTTGCATAACCTCCTCAGGAATGTAATTTTTAGGTGGTAAGATTAAACTGGATAATAGTGTCCATGATGAAGGTTTTTTCCTTCAGTTGAGATCTCTTTGCATCGACCATCTTCGGAAAACTTTTCAACCAATCGGTAGTATATATAGTTCCATGTATTTGCGACTCCTTTCTTGATCACCATTTTCGAGACCAAGCAGATCACATATTCAAGTATTGGTTTGTAGGGATTTGGTTGACTGGTTACAGGATTTCATCATGAGCTGACATTGGTTAGAGAACCATTGGAAAACCCATCAGGGAATACTGGACAGCTGTTTCGTCCTAGTTTGGGACTCTTCATCAGTATGTACCCACCACAAGGGGTTCGAACCCAGGACCTTCTACTGACAAGGCCAGCGAGTTCATAGACCATTAAGCCATTGGGACCCGAACTAATGGCCAGCCTATGAATTCTAACTTCTGCCAATTAACGACATAGCGCGACTGACACTAGCCAATGTCTTCGGTGTGTATTTGTCCTCACACCCGACCTGCTGCACCCTAGTGGTCACGACTTCTCACTGGAACCCCAGGTAACTACCCACCTGAATAAGGTCAGTTGCCAGTGAGCATCTCATTGATATTCAAGTATTTGTTTGTAGGGATTTGGTTAATTGGTTACAGGATTTCATCATGAGGTGACATTGGTTAGAAAGCCAGTGGCTAAATGGTCTACGAGCTTGCCTTGCAACCAGAAGGCCCTGGGTTCGAACCCTGGGGGTGGGTGCGTACTGATGAAGGGTCCCAAACTAGGACGAAACAGCTGTCCAGTACTCCATGCAGGTATTTTCCAATGGTTCTCTAACCAATGCCAGCTCATGATTAAATGCTGTAACAAAGCACCTATTATGATTTGGATAATGTCAGTTTCTAAAGGAGGCTGTGCTGAAATAACCACCTGCAATTGTATAAATTAAGAATTAATTCGCGAAATTGCGAACCCGTTTTAGGAAATCACCAGTTTGTCCAAAGTGGCTAACCGGATACCGGGTGATTTGAAATGATTGTGTTCTCTCGGGCTGATGAGCTCAACCCCAAATGAGTGGGATGGCCCTACAGTGTTTAGATCACTTCAGTCTAACCAGTCAGCACTACTGGTTGGTTTATGCGGTACACAACCACTCTAGTGTCCAATCAAAACAGTACCTGCTCTCTTGAATACCATCTATGGTACTGAGAGGATCACATTTTCTGGTCCAAATTATTTTGGTTTCGTAAAGAAATTGGGGTGAGATTTCACCTCCTGGAACTGTGTGAAGTGAAAATTGGTGAATTTGATTCGAAAAGCTCTGCCTGTCATCACTCAGTGTCTTTTCATCACCAGTAAGTAAGTTGGGCTAAAATATGTGTGTAACCAGTACTCTAACAGGGTTTTATCAACATCTGCCACCTACACTGGCTCCAGCCGGCCAGAAAGAATACGTAACAATAAACTCTCCAGTGGAACAAACCAACCAAGAACCGATCGCTCAAAAAATATGTAGGAGAAAATGAAGATGGATCAGGCATACATTGTGGAGGCCGCCGAATGACATCGCATACCAGGCCATCGCTCGAGTGGAATCCAAATGGGAACCGACGAGTGGGTTGTCAGTGCTAGGGGAACATGTAGGAGGTCGTGTGGCAAGGAGGAGATGAGAGATTATATGGGCAATCGTGGACCTAGCTAGCTAAAGAGGATAGCAGAAAATAGAAGAAAGTGGAGATGTGTTGTTGAAGCCCTATGTTCTACTCGAAACCCAAGGGAATAATAACAATAAACAAAACTCTAACCTTTAGGGAAGTTACCACTGTTTAAAAACCCACCGGAAATGTTTTTAACATTTAAGCCTATCAGTGACATATCTGCCATAATCCTAACTTATTTTATCTTTTATTAAACCTTTTTTTTCCAAAACTTTAATTGAATCATAGGAAATCGACAATGACAATCAGCAACAACAAGTTGATTATGTAACTGGATTAACACAGATGACAAAATCCCGGATGAAATTAACCGACTACGATAAACTGAAGATGGATAGACTAGGCGATAGTTCAGCAGCACAACAGACAACCCTAATATCCGATGAGCCAGTGCCAACAATTCCAACAGATGTATTCGCTGACTATGATCCAGTTGACCCGATCGACCAAGAATTAGTTCAACTTGGACGTTTAATGCAATCATTGGCAGTGCACTGTAGACAGTTAGTACAAGTTAAAATGCAGTATAAGAGTATGGAGAATTATATTCAACATCCATTTCTCATGCATCAGTATCCAAGTGAATTAAATTCCTGTGAATATGATAAACATAATTCTAGTCAAAATCAGCAACATTCACAGATGATAACGTCAATAACACCGACAACACTGACGACATTATCGACATCTGTTACAACAGATGCGTCGTCCATACCAATGACAATATCCAGTCAACAAAATGAAACTTATTACTCTCCGAATAGAAGTAATTCACAGAACACAAAGCCTATAACCAGTAAGTCAAATGAAGCCATCCCTCCTCATGGATCACCCCTACTTCATACAAAAGACACTATTAACAATAACATATCGACTAGAGTGCCAAGAATGGGAACAAGAATGGAACCCTCAATAATGGGATCAGTTAGTTCTAATGATTCTGGAGGACTGTATCATGATAAGAAGATAAACAGTACTTCGTCTGTTGTAACACCACAATTGCAAACAATGACTACAACAGGCGAAAAATCATGTCATAGTCGATATCCATCCAGTGTTAGAGGTGAGTATTCATAAATCCAGATAAATATGATCAGTTTTATTGAATAACTGTTTTTTCTAAAACTTCATCCGATAGATCCCCAGCTGGCTGAATACATCAGCCCTTTAGAGCGGATAAGTTAGATAGACAGATAGCGCTGCACTGTTTTCAACCGACTTTGGAATCTGTTCCCATTATCGTTATTCCAATTCGTATAAGTATTTCTTATCTACGACTGTGAATTTTATGGAACTACAGGCATCAAATAAATGGGAAAATATGCCCAGTTTAGGAGTGTCAGTTGACACGAAACCCATATCCAAGGCTTTCTCCCAATTGCCGCCAATCACATAACATCTTCGTGATGGTAAATTGCCTAGCCTTATGACCTGATTGCAAACTCGATAGACGGATTTCACTCAGTATTAGACATACAACGTTCTGTAGGAAATTTTATTTATCAACGAAATCATCTTCAGAGGCTGTACAGTCGTGTTTACATTTACCAAAAATGTATAGTAGTCTATTATTGAGTAATAGGGGTACCACAATTGATATCATTACTCAGAAGTGGCTCCGAAAGAAAAACTAAAAGTTATCAGTTACGTAGTAATTTTTTTAAATTTAATTTTTCAATTTTATTATAGCTTGATTCCACACAGTATTTTGGTACAAGTATGAAATTTTCAGCCTCTGATATCCGTAGCCCAAATTTAGCAGGCCGACCATAGATATGAGGTGTGCGTCGGTGGGGGATCGAACCTCGGACCATGTGCATGGTCGGCGAGAGTCCTAACCACTGTGCCACCAACGCACAACAGCACAAAGGGAAAAAGCGTTAGAAATTTGGTATGGTCAAAGTTGTTATTGAATGGGAGAGAAGAAGGTGGTTGAGTGTCCATTCAACAAGTGTGAAGAGGGTGTGAAACTGTACAAAAGGAACATTTGAGAATGATAATGGTGAATTAATTAATAAAGTAAAAGCAAACTAAAAGTGAAATTGAAAATAAAAAAATAAATTGAAATTTTTTCCAGGGGACAACTAGTGAAGAGGTTAAGACCAAGGTAGAATAACAGACTGAACCATTTTTTTGGTATAGAGAGTTTGGGGTTGTATTGACGAACTGCCAACACCTCCCCGATATACACAAAAGCCGAAACCTGATGCCCTTTGCACACCATTTGGCCTCACACCTTGTAGATGATCTTGAAAGACGATTATGGTGAAGCTGTGTGGTTTGAGCTCACTAAGTGCTCGAGAATTGAGCTAGTAACTGTCTTACATTGTCCTTTTCCTAACCATGTTCAGAGATGCATTGCTAACGTCCTGGTGACAAAACAGTACATAAGTTTGAAGCAGCACGGTGCTGTAAGATGCTTTTTTCACGTCATTCTTAACGATTAACTAAGCAGAACCAACCAGAAGGTAAATGCTGCTTTCTAAGCACACTCTACTGTCAATTTCTGCAATAATACATATAAATTCTAAGCAGAAAATTCATCTCAAAAAGTATTAAACACATCCATTCAACTTTTTAGAAATCAAATCCTTTCTAAAATAATAAAAAATAATCACAACAGTATGAAAACTGGTTTAATTCCAGTCTAAAACTATTCTGACATTTTAGACAAACATAATATGACGTATAGAACTGACAGACTGTTCAAATTACAAAACAATTAAACCCATCATTATTGCTAGGTTATATCAATGACAGAAAGCGAAAAAACAAAAACACCATATCTCACTAGACACTCACTAGAGTTTCATAACGCGCACTCAGTTGAAAATCACTCGATCCCTCCCTAAAAAATTGACAGTCGAATGAATATTTAGGTGATCTAGAACAGGCTCATGTGTCGTAGAAGTCTGATGAAGTGAATAGTGTAATCGCTAACCCCATCCCACCCTACACCAGTCTCATTGTCAATAAACAAAATCAACATTGTCAAATATCCACTTTGAATATCATTTTTTTTTGGGGGGGGGGGGAGGGAATTATGCTTTTCGAGATTTCTCTGTTTATAACAAAATCTATTCAACTTTATTATATTTCAATTCATCTAGTAATTATTAGCATTCTTATTACTACTACTGCTACTACTACTTTTTAGGGGATGATTTCCAGGGTCTTGATTGACTTTAAGTTTGGTCACAGAAAGAACCACTGAAAACCAGGGTATACCAGACAGCTGTTTTCTCCTTGTTCGGTTTTCAATGGTTCTGTAATTGAAGTTAATTCATGTAACATGTAATCAACGAAATCCCTGTAAAACTAACACAGGAAAATCAATCTAATGCTCACTGGGAGCTAATCACACAATGAAATAGCCTGGAGTTATAATAAAAAGTCGTGACTATCTGAGTCCATCAAACTGGAAGTGAAAAAAGGAACTTGCTACTGACATTGGCCAATGGCTGCGTCACAATATATCGCCAATCGTAGAAAGCAGAATTCCTAGACTGGACACTGCATTCCCTCCTACTGTCTAAGTGATCAAGGTGCTCGCTTCATAACCTGAAAGTCCTGGATTCAATCCTTGGCAGTGCGTACCGCTGAAGAGTCCCAGACTGTGACAAAATGGCTTTTAAGTACTCCCTGATTCTCATTGGTTCTCTAATTGATGTCAGTTAGTATTCTAAGTTATTATTACCAGTACTGTTTCCACTGGCATGGCCATTATAGATGTAGTTTCTCCCAGTCCATGTGATATGGTGGTCTGGTTAAATCTTTGGGCTACCTTATTTTCCAAGGAGCACAATACGTGAAATTTACTCAATTATAATTTGTTTTGACCGCCTGTTTACCTCCTTGAAGAATAATCTATATTCCCGTACACTTTTGAATGTCTTTCAACATACCGCTTTGTCTGTTTCGAAGGGACAAATTAGTCAGAGGTCCAGCATGTTTCAGTCAGAAGGAAATTCCGTTGAATGAGATACTGTAGATAGATAACTGTTTTAATTAAAGATCCCGTATGTGGAGTAAATAGAAGCAAGCTGAAAGTTCTGTGCCGTATGTAAAATGTTCAGAATAAAGTTACTATTTGAATTATGACACTTTGTACCAAATGAAAATTTTTCACATATTGATGATTATTATGATGATGGGAATGTTGAATACGCATTTTCTGGTACTGTTGTTTTGTAAAGATGCACAAAACTATGTTTGTTTTATTTATCTGTAAAGAAGGGACATGTGTATTAATGCTTATATATCTAAGTATCAACCAATGCATTTTTAGAATTATTTGGAATTTCCGACTGATTAATTTCGGTGGAAATCCCTCTAGTACGAATTCTCTGATGATATATTGAAGCTATTTGATTAGTAGTGGTTAAAGAAAGGAATCAGGATTTGAGTTTCGTCATATCTGGAACTCATCAACTGAAATAACCAGTAAGCAGTGGCGTTAACATTTGAGATTCAAACTCAAAAACCATCGATTCAAGCATCAAACTGCTATCCACGTCGATAAATGAGTTGCAAAACTACTGTGAACATCCTTACCCACTGGTATTGTGGCATGTGCTACTGGTGGAGTTTAATTTGAGTGTAGAACTTGGGTGCTGTGATAGAATGTAATTCCATATCACACAGTGATGCAGTATTAACAACTGGATGACAAGCTTTAGAGCATAAATTATTGCTCATAATCTTATCACTTTAGCTACACAGTTTCACAATTGGTCTTATATAATATTTTCTCTCTTTCTCTCTCTTCAACTTCCCTCTGGTATTTGTTGCCACTTTCCATATCTATGGTACAGGCGGCGTTGCGTCATTCCGATTGCACGTGTTTGGTGTCGATTCGATAAACAAAGCTTCAGTGATTAACCTCTCTGTCTCTCTACCTAACTAAATTACTCCTTAGTACTCTCACCCTGTCCCACCCTATTTTGTGATTACGTGCAAGTGAATGCAGTTCAGCGGCTGAGCTTTTTTCTAGGTTATTTAAGGTTTATCAGTTGTATATAAAGAGACGTTCATTGGCATAAAACACATCAAATAGCAAGGAGATACCTTTGATGTCAGAGAAAGCAAATGATACAGCGTTGTGAAGCGATACATGGGAGACGTGAAAAGAAAGCACAAAGAAACACAATATGAATGAAGGCCAGATACAAGCGATAAGATGTACATAATGTCGCTATAGAGATATCAAATTCCAAATAAACATTCCTCAACCAAGTCCTTCGTCTTCTACCATCACACTATGTCCTGATGATGAGTTCTGAATGAGACGAAATACACCTCCCGGATTTCATAACTAGTCATTTAGTACATTAGAGATAGTATAGTAATATTTGTAACATGTGCGTCGGTGGCACAGTGGTTAGGACTCTCGCCGACCATGCACGTGGTCTGAGGTCCGATCTCCTGCCGACGCACACCTGATATCCGTGGTCGGCCCGCAAAATTCGGGCTACAATATCAAATGCTGAACATTCCATACTTGTACCGAAAAGACAGTTTGGAATCAAGCTGTAATCAAACATCAAAAAAATTTTCGCTTATTACACCCTGTATTACTTGATTTTTTTTAAATTTCATATTTCCAACTTGTTATTTTTGCCTCGTATACATATATATTACTTAAACATCACCTGTCATAGAACGCTTCTTCTCTCTTAAGCGTGCTGGTGAAGTGCACATACACCGATGCACACATACACACCAGCATCATGATTCAACACACAGGCACACACACAGATAATCTCTGATTTCAAATGAAGGTTAAGTAATTAACCCATCCAATACTCTTATCACATAACCAGTGATGTTTGTTTTTTACACTTACCGAATCAAACCAGTTAAAAGTTGATAAATATATATGCAGAAAAATGAAATATGTTATAACAACATATATTGCGTAGAACAAAGCAAATATTGTTGTTTATTCACAAGTTCTCTTTTCTGCTAACATTTATCATCAAAGGTAGTCATCATAATAATAATAAGATAATATTTGTACAAGTGTACTACTGTGACGCACTTTTTCAAATTCATTACACAAACCCCCACCCCTTTAATATATATTATTCAATATAAACTAGACGTATTATTATATGTGTTCCCTATGATGTATTGCAATCAAAGTTTCATCAAGTTCATCTTTGTTAAGTCTTATTACACTGCCTTGTTTTCCCCTCTCTCTCTCCCTCTCTTCCTCTTTCTCTCCCTCCCAATAACTCTTCCTCTTACTGTGGAATACACTCACTTACTGTATGTACTTCATCCTCTTCTATTTACGTTGATCCCTTTGTGCATAAGCATACACTCTTATATATACACACCAAAAAATAAAGGTATTAGTCAGTAATACAATCAATCTAAAGAAAGCACTTGTTTCACTTTATTTTGCCTGTTTTGCCTTTATGAATCATCTTCCTCCATATATCGGCATTTGTAATGATGCGTTGTTGTGTGTGAATTAAACTCGATGAAATATCAATTTAATCGTCTACCGATTCTTTATGTAGATGTGCACATTTTGCGTACTTCCTTCGTATTTGCTTCTTTCTTCCTTCTTCGTTTTTTTTTTGGTTAAGTGTTGTTCGGCTTCACATGTATCCATAGATGAATGTGTATTACATTACATTACATTATAAACAAGTGTTCTATTTTATTTTTGTTTGGATTAAGGCTAACAGTGTTAATGTTTACATCGAAGATTATTATTTTTTCCTTTAATTCCTAGAGGAACATAGGGCTTCAGCCGTGCGTCTCCACTGTGTTCGGTTGTCTACTAGAGTCTTCACCTGGCTCCAAGTCTGCCCACATGCTTTCATCTCCTCTTCACATGACCTCCTCCATGTCACCCTCGCACTGACAACCAACTCGCCGCTTCCCTTTCAGGTTCTACTCGAGCAATGGCTTGTCTAGTGATGTCACTTGATGGTTTCCTAAGAGTCTGGCCAACCAATCCATCTCCATTTCCTTCTGCATATTTTCTTCACAATCGGTTCCTGAGTTGGTTCGCTCCCAGAGATCTCTGTTGCTGATCTTTTCTGACCAGCCATCTGATCTTGAGTATTGAGCGAAGACAACCGTTAATGAAGGTCTGTAGTTTGTTTGAGATGCTATTTATGACGCGCAGTGCAAGTCTCTGATCCCGTATAGTAGCACTGACTTCACATTGGAGTTGAAAATTTGGATCTTATTTTTGATGTTGAGTGCTGTTGACTTCCACACAGACTTGAGAGTAGTGAAAGCTTGTCTTGCTTTTCCGATCCTTGCTTTGATATCCTCGTCAGTTCCTCCTGTAGTTGAAACAATGCTTCCCAGGCAGAGTAGGTAAAGGAGGTTGTTTCTTTCAGGTTCCTCCCATTTATGCTGATTGCTGTGAGTTGTGGTTGTTGTTGCTGTTGGTGGTGTTGCCCAGGAATCTTCATCACCTCTGTTTCCTCTATGTTCACCTGAAGTCCTATCTTTTAGATGCTTCTTCTGCCAACTTGTTGCTTTTCGCTTGCATATCTTCCACTTTGTGGAAAATCAGACATATATCATCGGCGAAGTCCAGATCCTCCAAGTTTTTGTGTGAGTCCATTTTATGCCTCTTTCCTCATTGCCTGCTGTTTGTCGCATTATCCAATCTACTGCAATCAGGAAAATCATTGGCGATAGTAGGCAGCCTTGTCTTACTCGTGTCCTCACTTCGAAGGATTCCGTAAGTTTTCCGTTGTGGATTACTTGGCATGCAGCATTGTCGTACAGCTGTTGGATGAGATGTATAATTGTCGGTGGCACCCCATAGTAGCGAAGTAGTTGGCAAAGCACCTCTCGATCGACGCTGTCGAAGGCCTTTTCAAAGTCGATGAAGTTGAGATAAAGAGGTGATCCATTCCGAGCTTTGTTCAATGATGATCCGTAATGTGGCGATCTGATCAATGCATGACTTGTTTCTCCTGAATCCAGCCTTACATCGAAGATAGCGGATGAAAATGAATTATATTCCTCTCAAATTTTAATTTGCAGGAATTTGATTGGTTACAGGTCTTATCATGAGTTGACATAAGTTAGAGAATCATTTGAAAACTAGTACTCGAGTACTAGACAGCTACCTCGTCCCAGTTTGAGATTCTTCATCAGCGCTTATCCTGCGAGCTTTGAACCGAGGACTTTCTGATGACAAGACGATCTCGTAGACCATTCAGCCAATGGGAACTAACCCAATGGCTTATGAATTTGGGAGTAAAAGATAAACTGCCTAATTTCGTCTCTTTCATGTGTATCTAACAATTTAACTGCTCCTGTGAAGTGAGCCAGTTACATAGGCCGTACAATTAGGCATGTTTCTCGTCAGATTTCCGAACATCACCCTGCATAGTGGTTAAGTAAACGACAAACAAGATCTATTCCGAGCGCTATTCTATCTCATCTTGTGGATACATAACACAAGATTGATGTCAATGAGGCTTTTCAAAGTCATTTACCGCATACCAACAAATCTTAACTTCGCCTTGAGTTCTTTTACTAAATACTGCTGAGGCCGCTGGGATCCACATTAAGAAGCCTAATTTATGTGTTCAAAAGAAGCTAGTTCAGACATTGTCCTTACCTTGGCTATCTAGGTTCGAATGATCCTCAACTTTTTGTAGAAATTTCCCTAATTTTAATTGATATTCTATTTGCTACTATATCTTTATTATTATTATTATTTAAGCATCTTTAATGAATTGTAATTCCAGTGATCTTACTTTACAAATCGACATTATTTAAAAAAACACTAATATTGTTATTGACTACTATTCTAGAATATTCTGTGTATATAAGAATATATGTCATTGTGCAGCCAGAAGAGGAAATTATCGAAAAGGATAATCTTTGCTCAATTATTTTGTGTTTTATAAATATAATTAAGTAAAATTCATTTAAGATTTAAGAAGCTTATCGAGGTGGAAAAACGAAAGAGTAGGAATAAGATCAAAGGTTAATGTAATGAACAATATGTTGGTAAAGAAAATTTACCATAGGTATTGATAGTTCAACTTTTTATAACACTGCGAATTCTCTAAAATACTTTTCAAAGTTGATTTAGAGCTGAAACCAGTTGGAGAATTAATGAAATCCACCCGGAAGTATTGGATAGCTGTTTTAGTTGTTGTTTATTACACTTTAGCAGTAAGCATCCACAACTTGACTGTCAGGAATCGAACACAAAGCCTTCAGGTAAACAGGCAAACCTGTAGACCATTTAATCCCCGGAACAAAATTCAGTGACTAGTCCATGAATTCTATCTTCTGCTAATTCACCATATAGAGCGCTAATTTTGGCAAGTACTTGTCCTCACAAGCAACTTTATTGACCCAACTGCTCATCACTTCTTACCGGGACTGCAGAAAACTTCCAACCAGTGAAATATAGGGAGTACTGCAGAGAATTTAGAATTCATGGGCCAACCATTGCATTTCCCCCCTCCTACTAGCTGAATGGTCAACGGACTCCCTAAAGGTGCATAGATGACTGCATACTTCACAAATTGGGATGACACACTTGTTCAGTACTCTCTAGCGACCTCCTATGTTTCTCCAAATGAATTCAGTTCATAATAAAGCTTGAAACCAATCGAATCCCTTCAAACCGACAATTGATGATTAAAATTCTTTTGTAGTATTGCTTTTATTTCGCCTCTACATGTGTACATTCTATTTGAGAAAGTGGTGATCAAACCTCCAACGGTGTTCAGATATGCTTCTTGACCTACAGACAATAATAAATACAAGATTTCCTCTAATATATGCGGAATTTTATGCTATTTAAATCAATAATTAAGGCGTCGCACTGCTGAACATTCATCTTTTTTCCTAGACTTCGTGGAGAAGAACTGATCCCAGTTACTGATCACATCAAAAGTAAAAATGAGCATCTGTCAACAGAACTGAACAGCGACTGAAGCTAGAACACCTTAATTATTTATAACCACTTAAATTCCTATTTGATGGCATGCATGTTCCAGTATTTTTTTTCTCTCCAAAATTTTGACAGGGTAATATGTATGACTATATGTTCGAGATTAAAAGAAAATTCACAAAATGAGTAGATGGACACTAATCGCGTCAAATAGCAACAATTACTAAATGGGTCGAAGTGATCTCAATGCCAAACTGTCCTGTTTACTCGTCTGAGGTTAAGGATATCGACAGTGTACACGGATCACTTCAGCATATAGGGAAGAGTCAGCTGCCCCCCCCCTCTCCCCCAAATTCTGGTTAACTTGGAAAACCAGTAAAACCTGAATTCGAATTGGTCATTTACAAAACACAAAGTCCCAGACGAGAATTCACCCCAACTTCTTTTCAAACCCAGAAATACTCTAAATCACAATACATAATCCGCCTTAAGTGTATAATAATAATAATCATAATCAAAAGTTAAAGATGGAAGCATGATTTATTACTGTAAGACTGACTAGACAGGTACTTCTGTTCGTCTGTCTCTCTCTCTCTCACTCCTTTTTCAACCTGTTAAGTGCGGTAATTTCAACTCCGACGTCAATTATAATCAAGCAGGAATTCAGTCATAAGCAGGAACAGCTGCGCGACAACGTTTCTGACTTCAGCACTGGGTAACACGAGTTCGAATCCCATAGAGGACATCCGTTCCTTTAAAGTTGTATATATGCCTTACTGACGAGCCCCAAAATGTACGAAACCTAAGTCCCCTATCATTAACATTGTTGAACATTATATGTATACAACTTTTTATTCTGTTTTTCTTTGTTTTCATAAAGAAGAACGCGCTATTTCCTCAGATCGTCAAGATGCTCAAAGACAATTGACAAACTACTCCAAAGATTCCAATCAATTGATTGAGTCAAATACAACGTATCCAGATAGTTTAGAACAAAATATGCTCAATGGTAGCGGTGATACAAGTGCATATTGTACTAGTGAAAGTAGACGAAGCCAGAATGATCATTCATTATTGATTAGTACACATAATATTAACAATAACAGTAAAATGGGTAGTAACAATAGTAACAGTAGTAATAATAATAATAATGGTAGTAATAACAGTGATATCAGTGCCCCTAATAACATTAATACACAATCCCCGCTGAAAACCACATTATGCAGTAATTATCCAGCCAGAACTACTACTACTAGCAGTCTTCATTACAGTACTGGTGTCGGCGGAGATGTCAGCAGTGTTGGAGGTGGCATTGCTGCCTCACTGTCTGATTTAGGCGGATCTCTACTCTCTTTATCTGCAGTCATTCCAGATCCAAATCATCATAATCCTCATCATCATCATCATCATCATCTTCCCCCTCATCTTCACCACAACTCCAGTGAACCTAAAGTGAACACTAATCACTTGATAACACATGATTCCTTCAGTCCATCATCAAATTGGTCCATTGATGGTAATTCACAATATAATAATAGTAATAGTAATAATAATCAATATATTCAACCAGAACCAGTGATTAATTATACAGAATCTTACTACACATCAATACGTCAATTTGATTCACCGCCTTCACAGTCATCTTCATCGTTAATCTCTGGTAGAAATAATAATAATAACAATAAATCCTCATCGAATGAACAACTAGCGTATAATCCGACCCAGGAGACATTCAATCATTCCCCTTCACCTAATCATCATAATTCTAGTGGATATAATGAGAAAAAGAGTGTAAATTATGCAAAAGAAGTATTATTAAAAGGTAATATAAAATTACAATCTGTTAATAATTATCCCCATCACCACCATCCTACTATGCATCATCAGTATTCACAACATCAATCACAGTATCTGATGAATCCTCAACACCAACATTTGCATAACTCCACTGGTGTAATAACATATGAACAGAATTCACAAAGGTTTATAAAAGATAGTGAGTTTTTTTCTTCTTTTAATTGCATAATTCTTACGTCTATATTGAATAATTTATCTGTAAATCAATAATTTGTAGGGACTTTGTATTAATTTCAACTTTCTACACTCTGAATATCGATCACCGACCCACTGATGGCTATTGGATAGATTTTCTGAAGCTAACTGCAGTAGGAAGTCGTGTCCAATGGAGTTCATCATGTCAAGATGAGATGAATGCTAGTCAAAGGCAGCGCTATGTCACACTTTGACAGGATTAGAATTCATGGGGTCAGGGTCAACCCAAGTGACCGAATAGTCAACGAGGTTAGTCTCGTAACCCGAAGGTCCCAGGTTCGATCCTTAGTTAGACATTCGGTATGCACTGAGCTCCTTGGTTTTCAGTGATCTCCCTGTAACCGATGGTGGTTCTTGACGAAAATCGGCACTGCACTTTCGCTTATATTAACACCAAATAAGCCTAAAACAGTTTGTGAAATATGTTGTCATATCAGCGAGAATATTTTCACGCTACAAGAAGAGTGGTGCTATCTACTGTTGAATAATTTAATGAGGATTGCTTAGCTTTTGTTCACCTTCTCTTAGAGGCGAAAGTTAGCATGAACTCCATTTTATATAGATATACATATTTGAATAAAGCAAGAACAACAGATTTTGCAGAACAAAATGCTGCCATCATTTATTTCGTTGGCTTCCAATCAGTTGCTTACAGCCCAAAGACATTATTAAGCTTATATACAGACAAATTTTATCATACTTGCACAGAGTTCATTTTTAAACAAAAATCAATCAATATATGCATGCAGTAATATATATATATATATATAATATTAAACACTATGATCACACACAATGGAAACTTTCGGCACTACGTAATCAGATGAAAGAGAGGTGAAAATATCCAGTTACCAGGCAAGGTAAAGAAAGACTGATAACTGCTTCTTTCTGAACGCACAAGTCGGGTTTCAGGCGCTTGATGAAGATTGCTTCGGCACGCTAACTTGAGGAGAATTGAACTCTTTTGCCTATTGATAATTTTGAACGACTTTGCGATGTCCATCTCATGACCCATGTCAAGGAGATGCCTAACGATGGCACTGTTTAAAGCATTTGTTCCCTTTAGACATAGGCTTTTTGGTACGTGTGCAGAAAGTCGGAGGTATGCCCTTCCTTCTGTTCTTCCAATGTAACTGCTCCCGCAGATACACGTAAATTTGTACATACAGCTGCAGTTAACATGAGAAGGATATCTGTAGATTTTCGATTGCACCAAAGAGCAAGTTGTTTGACAGACGGGAACGAGCTTAGCTGCAGGATAGGCTCTGCCTAGTGACGTCCTCAATCTTCTCTTTAGAATCGCTGTAGTATTTTCACCTTTCAAGTCAAGTCCAATGTAGATGGGTTATTTTTCCACTGTGATTTGCTTGACATTTGAGCCTTCAGATCTTCCGTACTTGTTAATGAACCTTCGAGGGTAACCGTTGCTTTTCAACATCTTTTCGAGAAACATAAATTCTTCCTGTAATTCCTCTGTAGAGCACAATTTCCTAGCTCTGTAGTATACAGTCTTGACTAGTCCTCGTTTAAAGCTATGTATGAAATATACATATGCTTTCTGTAGATCTTTTTTCATCGATTGTGTACCAAATAAAGTGAGTCTTCAGTGAAAAACAAAAGTGAAAGTATCTAGTCAGTAGTCACGTTCAAACCAGCCTCTAGAACTGATGCTCACTGGAGTAGGCAAGTGACTTCCAACCATTGGGTTACGGGTTTCAATCTCGTCCCATTTACTGAAGTTTGAAAAGTAAGGAAAATGGAATTTTACTCAACTCGCAGTCAACATTCTATACAGTTGTAAATATGTTATTATTATCATTCCCTTAGTCGTCTTTATATGGCTTCGTGATTGCCCATAAGCTGTCATCCTCCAAAGTGTCACACTCGGACCCATGCCAAACTCATCGTTTCCTATTCGTGTTCCATTCGACAGCCATCCTGGGGTGCAGTGTCACTCAGAGGTCTCCTCAGAGTGTATCTGATCCACTTCCTTCGGTATATTGATGGGCTATGGGTTCTTGATTGGTTCACTGCCTATCAGAGTTCCTTGTGGCTAATCTTCTCTGTCCAGCTGATCTTCAGTTTGCACTGAAGGCGGTTGTCGATAAAAATTTAAAGTCTGATCGAAATGTTCTTGGTGATATGCCAAGTCTCTGAACAATATAGAATCCGAGTCTTCTTCCTTCTGCTTATAGCAGCAGATTTCCGCACTGATTTCAGAGTAATGAAGGTTTAGTCTTACCTCTCCGATCCCGGTCTTGACATCTCCATCCGTGCCGCCTGTAGTTGAAAAGATGATGCTTAAATAAATTAACGAAATGAGTTTCTTCAAATTTTATCCATCGATAATGATTGGTGCTTGCTGTTGTCGTGAATTAGGTTTATCCATCACCTCTGTATTCTTTATGCACACAAGAAGTCTGTTGTTTTCGCTGCTTCCTCCGAAAACTTGCCGGCTTTCGCTTGTAGATCTTTGAGTTTGTCTGACATTAGACTTAAATCGTGCGCGAAGTTCATATCGTCTAAAGTCTTCTTGTCTGTCCAACAATATGCCCATCTTCTAGTTCCCCACAGTCCTCCGTATAGTTCAGCCCACCATAATTAGGAATATCATCGATGATAGTGGGCAGCCTTGTCTGACTCCTGTATTCACTTCGGAGACTTCTCTGACTTCTCCATTATGAATCACTTGACCCGTGGCACTGTCATATACCTACTGAACGAGGTTGATAGAGATTTAGGACATTCCGAAGTGTTGAAACAGTTTCAAAAATCATTTCGCCGTCAACTCTGTTGAAGGATTTCTCAGAGTCGTTGAATCCGAGGCACAAGTATGACTGCCATTCTATGCTAGTGACGCCACCTGTCTGTCGATAGGTGGAACGGGTTTCGCATCCATAACCCACTTGCTGGAAATCGACAGCCTAGTGCAACGAGCCACAGCTCTACTTACCGAGGTTTAGGAAACCAGATGGCACAACTAACCTTCACACAATAGGTGTGTATCACTGCTAACTGCTTTGAAATGCACTGGTTTATTGAGTAAAACTTAAGCATTGCTACCTTATCACGAGTTTCAAGTCAAGCAATAATAGCGGTAACATTTCAATAGGCTGTGAATAATAAATAAATTCAAGTCTAAAGAGGATCATGGCTTCACTCTAATTGTCTCATATATCTTTGAGTCTGTTAGTTAACATTTATTGTAGGAAAATGCACAATTTTCAAACTACCAGAATCCCATTATAAGTTTACAAAATTCTCCTTTTATTCTAGGTAATTCTTCGTGTGATAGTCAAGAAAACATCAACAAGAAGAATAATCAAGATTCATCTGGTGATAGAACTGTCCTGGATAATCAATCAATCAAACAGTCACTACCGTCAATGAATCATTTCCATGGGATGAAAGCTGAAAAACACTCACAATTCACGCATAATTCAGTCCACCCCTCACATACTACATCTCAGCTAGGCAACGATGGTCATTTATCACTACATAGTATGCATTACCTACCACCAAAATGTCCTCCATTCAACAGCTTGTTGGCGACAATTACCGAGACAATTCCTTCTTTCACCAGTGGTATTCGTGCGGTATCAGCAGCAACGGCAGCGTCTTCATCTCATCATCATCTTAGGTATAATCCATTACCACCCTTAGATAAAAGAATCAACTGTTCACAACATTCATATGAATTTTATGATCGATTTTGTTTACCCCAGTCAATGCCAACAGCAGCAACAACAACAAAACACAGAACAACGCATAATATCTCACAACAACCACCTCCACTCCCACCAGTACCAACACAACAACAGCAACAACTACAAGGACAGAATTCCTTATCAAATCAGCAGTTATGCAAACAGTTTGCACGATTTAATGAGGAAACTAATCTGAATGTAAGCTTATTGTTCCCCCTTCTATTTCCCCGCCTTTATTGAATAGTTATAATTGTTAGGTTTACAGGGATCTCAACTTTGATTAACCTTTATTTTAAACCCACATACATAAAAATGTCATTAACATCATAGGTTAACTATACAGTCACACACCCAGCTGAAATAATTATTCTGTAGACATGTCTATTTATGCTTGGAGTTTCCGTCATTTTTAATCGGCGACAACTGTGTATTCTCAACTGTCCGTTTCCAGAGGCTTGACTGATCTCAAGCCGTATCAAGAGCTGACATCAGTTGGAGGACCACTGAAAACCGCAAGGGAGTACACGACAGTTCTTTCACTCTAGTCTGAGACTATTCAGCACTACTCGTCCATCATCCCACCGTGAGGTATTGAACTAAGGACCTTCAGGTTGTGAGGCGAGCTCAGCTGACTATTCAGCTGCTGGGACGAAATGCAAATGACTGTGAGGACGGGTGCCCACCGAAACCACTGTCTGACGTAACCTGAAGGTTCTGGTTTCATCAGAAGTCTGAGTAACAGGTGTGTACTGCTGAAGATTCCTTAAATGGGATAGAACATCTACCTTCAGTACTCGATGAAGCTTGTCAACGGTTCGCTAACTGAAATTGGTTCGTGATCTGATCGTATATTGTGTTTCCTGCATTTACCTTTTTGTTTATCGGTAAAAGACGGTGGTCATTTTGACACTTGGTTTTATGTTTTCATTATACCGTCAGTATTATTTGACAACTATGATAAGTGGTTTCTCTTTACTTACTCACCACAACTTCTAAATAATTAGTTACAGTACACAAACACACACATAAATTCCTTCTGAATGTGTCTAAATGTTGGTTAAATTACATCAACTGGAATCTGCAGTTTGATCAGTGAATTAAATCACGAAATCTTTATTTTTTTTTTAAGTTGACTCTTAAAAGTTATACAGCTTTTATACAGTTTTCATCCTTCTTGAAACTTATCATCGAAATGTATCAGTAATATGTTGACAGTTGCTCCTCGGAACACTGCCGCCTACATCAGTCAATAGCAAGCTCAGTTATCTCTTGCTATAGTGAAGTAATTTAATCTGAAAATGGGACAGATTTTCTTCCAAACGAAATTTCCTTGATTTTACTCAGTGAATAAACAAACCACAATATTCACAACTTGCTGTCTGCACAGTTCGACGTGACTGTTCCACGATAGCCTCCTTTAAAAACCGACATTATTCAGATCATGTAATACGTGATCTGTTCGGTACCATAAATGGTCATTACGAAGGCAAGCATATTAGCATAGAAATATGTACTACTCATTGATTGAGATGAGTAATTGTATACCACACAAACACACACACATAACCAGTAGTAAACAGCCAGCTCTCTGAATTGGGTCAAATCTGGTACACCGCTGATGGGCCTGGCCCCAAATGAGTGGAAAGGCCCCCTGGTGTTCAGATCACTTTAATTTGGCTGGTCAGTAAGCACTACTTGTTGATTTGAGTAGTATACTACTCAAGCACTACTACTCATCTCAATCAGTCGATCAATCAGTAGAATAAGGCTGATACGCATTAAGGCAGAATGTTAGTTTAAGATATTTACAGTAATCAACAAGCTGGTCACTGAAATAACTGTGTATTCATTATAAGTAATAATTGGAAATAAAAGAAATGAGATTACATTTGTTTTTATATTCATCCTACATCACCTGTCGATCGACTATGTTCAACCAAAATGCTCGGTCTCTGCGAACACGTCGACTCCCTAGTACGGACTCCTAGACGATACCAAAAGATCAACACGAAATTATTTTCCTTGGTGGTGACCAGCCGTGGAATCCAGGATGGGGGTACTTCATCCTATTTAGGACTTTCCATCACTTATTTGGAATGCAAGCACTTCCAGATGACGAGTCCCAAATAGGACGAAGTGCACATATCCTGGATTCCACTGGTAGTTACCACCAACCAGAAATAAATCGAATTACATATTCTAAGATAGCACAATTTAATCCGTCAGTTCGATTTTCGTAGGAACGTTTATGTTCTCTTACACATTTGATAATCTATAGGTACATATAATGTGATGACATTCCGCAAGACTATTATTATTGTTATTATAATTATTCGTTTCATTTATTCCAGTTGGAATACTGAGCTTCAGTGTTTCATTTTTTTCTCTGCAAACACTTTCAACTCCCCCGACAACTGTTCACAAGCGTTTATTTCCTCTTGACATGATCATCCCCATGCCACCCTCAAACCTACGTCGAACCTGTCACTTTCCATTTGTGTTCTACTCAAGGATATTCTGTATGACGTCACTTCCATGTCACCTTAGTGTAATTCCCATCCATCGTCATTTCCTTCCGCATATGCAATGAATAATAGATACTTGCCTGATGGTCCACTGCCTGACAGAATCCTTTGTTTCCAATCCTCAGTATTAGGTCAAGGCAACTGAGGATGGAATTCTGCACTAGCCTGTTGGGAATGACAGATGCATCATATAGAAGCACTGACTTGACGTTAATGTTAAAAAATTCGGGTATTGTCGCTCGCATTGGTTGCTGGATGGATTGGAGCTGGTAGCCCCAAGCCCAGCCTTCGCTCATTCTCCATATTATTAGTGGCTCATAAACAAGATGACACTTAGAAGTGCATCACCCGGGAATCGAACTCATATGGCGTGTGTGGCTGCAAGCATTCTACTACTAAACCATCGGAGGGAAAGAGGGATCATGGTGTTTTTACTCTGTCCTCCTCTGAACACACAACAGACAGCGGCACAACTCCAAATCAAAATAATAGCACTAATAATTCCACACTAATCGTAGATAAATCAAATTGTACAATTCACTAAGGATAGTAATCTAACAAGTCTTTTGTGTTAGAAAAATCAGTGAAAAAAACAAACAAACACCGATATCTTTAACTTTGTTTTGTTTCTATTTTTTTTAACAAGAACTTATTGTTTCTGTGACAAATACACACAAGAAAAAAGAACATAAGTGAGAAGAATTCACTTATCTTTAAATGATATCAGAAGAGATCGTTGCAAGGGGCTGGTGGGGGCTGGAAGTGGGCGTGGAGCAGAGTTAAAGTGAAGTAAGCAGAAAAGGGAAACCGAATCACCCTCCACACACACACACACACTACAAACTAATCAAAACATATCGGATATGAAATATTTGTCAAATAAGGTTATATGCGCACACGTGTATATACTTTAAGTATGCCTATAAATCGTTATATACACTCATAAAACATTAGAAAGTAGAAAAACCCTGGTACAAACCCCAGTGATGTGACACAAGGAGTAGAAACAAACAAACAAAAAAGAAGGCGGGAAGTGTAATTGTACACAGACATTCTTCATTTTTATTTATTTATTTATTTATTCTCTTTTATTTTAATCTAGACAAAGATGAAAGCATAAATCAATTGCCATCTTCTGTAGACGAGTAAACGCACGTCTGTACATACCGTCATACCGTTTGTAGGGCAAACATGTCTCCCTCGCTCTTCCTCTTTCTCTTAAGCGTGTATATATCCACGCGAAAACATGCAAACACCATCAGAGAAACAGACACCTTACCTTTCTGTTGTCTCCTCTCTTATGCAGAAAGGAGAATTAGATGTGATTCATAAATTTCAATATAACTTTCTAATAGGATTTATGTGTATTGTTTTTTGCAAAACGATATTAATGATAATGTAAGTGTGGGTCATTTAGGGAATAGAGAAACTAAGGTGTATTAGTGTATACGCTGTAACCCTAACTGGTTGTTTCCTTGTTTACTCCTTTTATTTTTCACCGCTGTCAAAGGTCAGTTTTAATTAGAAAAAATGAAAGTAATTAGAGGGAAAATAAAGTCTACGCAAACTTTTTGTGGTTATAACACTTTTCATTGAATAAAGAAATGTTAATTTTACTTAAGAAATTATGTCACATTGGTGTTCGATAATCATGCACGTAGCCCAAGGTTCGATCTCCGTTCGGTACACTCCCAAACGTTACTTAGGCGGAGGTATGTACAGTAAAAAGGGAAGGTTGAGTGTTAGTTACAGGATTTCATCATGAGCTGACATTGGTTAGAAAACCATTGGAAAACCTGGGAGTACTGCACAGCTGTTTCGTCCTAGTTTCGGACTCTTCATCAGTAAGCACTCGCCAGGATTCGAACCCGCGAGCTTCTCGTTAGTGTTCGCGCTATGTCGTCAATTGGCAGAAGTTAGAATTCACGGGCCATTGGACCGGGTTATAGTGGCCTAATGGTCCACGAGCTCGCAAGCCTTGTAACCAGAAGGTCGTGGGTTCGAATCCCGGTGGGTGCGTACTGATAAAGAGTCCCAAACTAGGCTGACGAAACAACTGTCCAGTACTCCCAGGTTTTCCAATGGTTCTTTAACCAATGTCAGCTCATGATGAAATTCTGTAACTAATCAATCAAATCCCTACAAACTAACACTTGAATTGTATTTTATTAATTTTAACTAATCTTGGTTAGCAGTGGAGCCTAGGAGATGCGTTTTCTTTCCTTCTTATGAATCTCAAATTATTCGTTACTACATCTTCAATGAGTGATGATGTTCCTACCAAGATATTAAATTGACTTGAAGGCATCATCGAATTCTCCAAACCAGGAGTAGATATGCCAACATAAGAATGATTGTATTTCATTTCATATAATGATAAAAGAAACTAAACTGGTTAAGACTGGTCTGGATCAACAACCAGCTGACGAAAATGAACCAAGATCTAGCTGGTCTGAACAACAGGATACGTGAATCAGTCCCTTACTAATGACACAGAGCATGTATCTGGAGTTATTCAGTTCGAAATTTGGAAACATCAGGGGGTCTGAATTCTATAAACGTAGAGGTCCTAAAGATAAATAAAATGAGAGATTTTAGCCATCTGTGAGTGACACTGTCACCTAAAACAACTGCTTGGAAAAAGTCTCTTCGAGTACAATTATTATTATTATT